CATTACCACTTGCCGTCTCAAAGTGTCATACATCTCTCTTCGATGTAATCTTGAAGGAAGAGTCCAGCTGTGTCCACCCCCGGATCCCCATCCGCTGTCACTGCCACTGTACCCACCGAATCCCACATCTCCTCCGTGGGAGCTCAGCCTCAGCCAGGCCTCTCGAATGCCTTTCCTGGAAGGGGAGAAATTCCCAAGAAGGTCTCTTCTCCTCTGGTTTCTTCCATGAGTCTCTGGGCTACTCAAAGTCCCGTCCTCATGGTAGATAGGATTTTTGATAGTCAGTGGGTTTTCATCAGAGAGAAAGGTGATGTTGGACTCAGACTTGGGCAGGTTGTTTAGCACCCCTCCGTTAGCAACGCACTGACGATGAGCAGCGATCGCTCGTGTCGCAAAATCTGAGATCAAACGTTGGCGGTCGCTTTCATCAAGACTGCCGCGACTTCCACCACGATTGTCACCACGACTGTCACCACGACTGTCACCATGACTGTCACCATGACTTCCACCACCACCACTATGGTTTGACCGGCTGGTACATGAATGGAAGAAAAAATGAGAAAGAAAAAGATGGATTGAAGGGAGAAATAATAAAAGAATTAAAGATAAAATATGAAGGAGAGGAGGGTATAGTGAATTTGAAAAATGTAATTATATAAATGAAAGCCAAATGAAATGAAGGAGGGAGATTGGGACTGAATGAAATTTAAATGAAAGAGCAGTAATGCACAGAATGGTTAAATAAAATGTTTTATAAAGGGGAGTGACAACAGACGGATACAAAGAATGAGAGTAAGGCAGATAAAACAACACAATGTCTGCTAGAGCTGTTTTTTGATAAATGAAATGAAAAGAGACTTCACATTAAGAGATGAATGAATAAGGGAATGAGAAGGAAATGGAAGAAGGAAATGGAGGAAGGATCTTGAAAGAGGTAACGGCATTTTCTTTCTGTGTCGTTTTTACTGTGCGAGAGATGGAGCACTAAAAAACTGTCTTGAAACACAAAGGATAAGAATGCAAATAGATTGTATATTCGCCTAAAGTGGTGCACTACAAAGACGCTACTGCATCACGACTATAAACAATGCCAGGAATCTTTGGGGCAGGGATAGACAACTGTGTGTCATGGAGTTCTGAGAGTATGCACATTTCCTTCCAACAAAAGACTGATTATATCCTCTTTCTGGTTGAAGGAGCACTAATCTGTGAAATCTCTCGTGTAGTTTTTAGACTTTGTTCAAACTCTGCAGACTCTCGGTACTCCGTGGCACATGTATGCCTATTTCTATGCAGAGATAACCAATGCAACTAATTCACAGATCCGCCAAGAGCACAACTAACCTTCAGCAACACAACTTTGCTCTCTGATCTACCAAAGTACAACTTACCCTGCAGGTAAATTAAGGAACGACTAACAAGTATGGACACAAACACAAAACTAAAGCAGCTGTCACAGCATAGTATCAAACTAGTCACAGAGGTCAAACAATTTTCAGCATCCTACTCACTTTTGTCTGTCAGCCATGGATAAAAGTGGATGGATGAGAAGAAGACAAGGTGGACAGATGAGTCAACGAGAGCGAATGCAAGAGAACAGGAAAAGTATAGTGATGAAATGATAGGAAAGGAGGATGTTAAAAAAATCTAAGTTGTGAAAGAGAAAAGATTGTAGAAAAGGTCTATATAGTATAATATGTAATAATGTTATATATAATAACAAATCAGGGTAAACAAGTAGGGAGAACACTGGATTTATCTGTTTAGCTGTCACATGACGAAATGTCTTTAGGATTTACTTGTCCAAGATAGTTTTAAAAAATCCAGTCTTGCACAATACACAGCAATTCCTGGACATGGCGGATGCCTCATACAATGAAAACCATGTACTGCTGATTACGTCCAAGGTAAAAACCTTTGATACCAGTTGTTGAAAGAAGGAAGAATATTTCTCAGTTTCCACTGTCTGTCTGGGAAACACAACTTTCAAGTCATAACTTAATTGCTATACCACTATCTCGCTATGAGATAAAGAACATAGTCTTAGTTCAGTTAATGATTGCTCCACATTTTCAATATAATGGTGAACAATTAAGCTTTTGTATTTCACTTTATTCGCTGAAGTTGTTAAGCTGTTTTCTACCATTTGAAATTTAATGGGAGTCATTAACCATGATAATTATGTAAAAAATAAACAAACAAAAAAATAAAAAGAGCAACAACAAAAACCCTACAGTGATCGTTAGCATGGAAATATGGAAATACTCCAGTGAATAAGTCAGAACAAAATAATCATCAAAAGTAGGGAGGCATATGATACATATCAAGTTACTGACACAGCACAAGTGATGATGATGAATTGCTGTATAGCTACTGTAAAAAACACAACTATTAACTTTTAAAAAAACATGCTTCATTTAATGTGCTGCTAATAATAAGTTAAAGAACACTTAATTTCACATAGGTAATTGAAAACAGACATTAAAACCCAAGCCTGTCAAGAGAACAGCCAAAGGTAATTAAAAGGGGAATAATGCCTCGAAAATCAGTCTACTGAGCAGTTTGATAATGGACCTTAATTATGAATGTGCAAACTTTTGCACTTTGACTGGTTTTATACTCTTTAGGGATTATTTAGTTCCTACAAGATTGCATTGATACAGAACACACACACACACACACACACACACACACACATACACCCACACACACACACCTACACACCTACACACACACACACACACACACACACACATACACGTATTACACAAGAAATCCCAAGAAACTGCATACTTTGCAAACACACACACAAAAGACCATCCCCACCACAATTAAACAAGCTCTGTAGCTTATCAATTGAATTAATTATCGCCTAGGGGGGTCTTTATAAATTACGGGCTGCATTTATTTCAATTATCTCATATCCAAGTTCATTTCCGCACACATTTTTCAGGGGATCGTCTGGGCTGGTTAGTCTCACACACGTGCAAACACACACGTGCACACACACACACTCACTCTCCCTCACACAGTTGGAAATCGCTTGTTGTCATTTGGAGATAGTTTATTCCATCTTGCATATGAATTGCTCTCATGTTAATGGGAGTGAGGAGGCATATCAAGGACAGACAGGAAACCTGTGATGCATGTAATGCTGATAAGAGTTCCTCTCAACTTCGTCTTAACGCTCCAGTAAAGAATTATAAATGAACTGTGTGTTGCCTGAGTGAGTGAGAGTGTGTGTGTGAGGTTGTTAAAACTTTCCGATAAAAGTTAATACGGGGTCTCTACATACAGTCACTATTAGACTCTTGTTTAACCAAACTAGGAGAAATTGGCAAGAGGATAAATTAAACAAAATGTGCCAGAAGATGCACAGAACCCAGGGACCTACAGTAAGTGGTGAAGAGAATATGACTAAATTGCACAATAATATAGCAACTTTCTTAAAGTTTCGTCAAGAACAAAAAGGTAATTCTTAGAGGATACATTTCGGGTACTTTTTTTTTGTTTTTGTGTTATTGAGAGCCACCAATCCATGTCCAAATCTTGAAGTAAACTTGAGAGGCTATACTCAAACTGAATATTGTCCTCTGGGCTGATCGCTGACCTTTATTTTATCTTTTGCATGGTGAGGACATTGGTATGCATTACAACTGGGAAACTGACAAGGAAAGAGCGGAATGTCACTGAAGTCTGTGAAGATAAAATTGCAGGGTTTATCTGTGACTGTTAATGTATTCAGAAATGTGAGCTTTTTTTGGTGTTAGTTTGATGTGGGGTTACAAGGCCCTCCTTGATTAATCCAGATTACGTCGGTCTCCACATAATGTCAGTTTCTTTGGCTACAGCAAAATGTAAGATGAAAGAAAGAAAATGTCTCTAGACCACAAAAACAACTTTGAGGCCACATTCACAACAGTCTAAGGGACATTTTAACGCAGATAAATCCTTTCAAGGGCTCCCAGTTTAGGAGTGATTTGGGAAAGTGGTGGGGTGAATCAACAAGTTATATTTCAGTGAAACGCTATATTTCTAAGCATGCTTTAATCAGTCTTCAAAGACAGTTATGTATGATTTACTTAAGACTTTCAATAAATGGTTGGAGGAACGTCATTTTTACTAAATGTTTAAGAACAGTCTTCACTGGCTGAAACACTCTGCCATTTTGTGTGAGCACAGCCATCTTATCATTTATCAGTCTGACGTGAAACTGGCTCAAGACTTTGACCAATTAGTTTAATAGCTGGTCTACGTTGGCAAGCCTTTAAATATGGTTGTTCAACAAGTCTGTAGATGATGTGGATGTGTGTCTATCAGTGACCCAAAGAACACCAAGTCCGCTGTCCCCATCCGAGAGTTACTGCTTGTGTGATTGGGCTGTGTTATTTAAGATCATCACTTTTGCACTAATGCATTTTGGTTTCCACTTCTAACATCTTCATCACTTTCTTTTTCTGCATTGTTGCACCCTTGAGCTAAGATAGATGGAGTTTGTTATTGTGTTTGAGAGTGAACTCTAATCAACTGTGAAGCTTTTACAGCATCCCAACCTGCTACAGGCCTTACAGTCCATGTTTTGAAATTGAAACACAATTTAGATGTCTTCCTGTCTTTTGTCATCTTATTTATACTTTTTATCTTGTTTATACTTTCCTTTTATTTCCAGTTACTTTGTGTTATTTTTTATCATTGCCTTCTCATTTTTAATGCATGAGAGAGGTAAAATTGGGAAAATATGGGACTTGTGCTTAGCCTTACCTTGAGAATAATAGCTCCGGTCTGTAGGGAATGAAAGATACAAGTATATTTGCAGAGCTATTTTCCATATTGAGTTAAAACGTAGGGAGATGGGATTGACTGGATGTGTGGATACCACAAAGCTCCCAAAGCATGAAAAGGCACACAGCCAAAGGCTGAAGTTTAACAGCCATAGAAATGTGAGCTAATGCCTCTGCTTTGGCTCATCAATGCAAATGCCACTTTCACACTTCACTTACATGGCGTTGTCGCCCAGCTCCTCATACAGGTTGTTGGCAGTGCCTCCCCCAGGTTTGCCTGTTGGCAGTGCCATCTGGATTCGGGCTGTTTTGGCACACTCTGCCTGGCGTCTGGACACAGCAGAGAGGAAACACAGGGTTAGTTATCTAAAGTTAGAGTAAAATCCTGTCCTTAGAAAGTAGAAAAATGGTCATAATCAGTGCGGGAGGGCTTGTAACTTAACTAAAAGGTTGCAGGTTTCAGGATTTCAACCACTGGCACATCAATCCCAATCTGTATCCTGAAGCAAATCCTTATGTCAGTTGCTCCTATTGTGTGTTTTAACAATATGCAATATTAACAAGTTTCTAGCATTATCACTTACTGCAGCCTCACAGCATGGCAGACATACAGAGTCTTTCTTGAGTTAAAACACTGAATATATAATCTGTGATTCATTGACAAATTGTTTAACGTGCCTCTCTACATGACTTGATGGATATTAAAGCAAGACTATGTAACATATACGATGAAGAAAGTCCATTGCGGCCATAAATGGCAATTACAAGATAACAGCATAATGATTCTCCCCAGTCAGTTGCTTTCATTAATTATAAAAGGACCAAACAGAGCTCGTGGAATGGGACCACAAGCTGGAACAAAAATGTATTTCTTGGTACAGCATATTCAATTCCTATTTTACTTTTTTACTATTTTACATTTGTCCTAAATCTTTGAAATATTAAACTGTGACAAGCTAAAACTAGGGCTGTTGCAATAACCACAATAATAAAATACCGTGCTATTGACAAGCCAGCCGCAGGGAATGGGCAAGCCACCGCCATGACCGCACGTTTTAAGATATAAAAGTGTCTCAGAGCAGATAAGCTGGAAAGACTTTATACAGAAGAACCTGTGTCTGAAATGCAGAGCTACTCAGTAGCCACGATTACAATACCACACAGGAGAAAGAGCTCATAGCCTCCACCTCACTCACTCTGGAAAAACTCCTGACTGGAAACACCAGCAGTCTTTTTGTAGAAAATTCCAACTGGTTCGCCAATTATCAGCTGTGGCATTCATGTCCTGCAGCTTGCCACTGTTTTGGTTAAATGAGTGAGTGAATTGCAACTTTCAGTAACTAACTGGCGACTTTATTCGGGTTAACAGAAGAAGGGAGACTGCAGGTGATTCGTACAAGCAGGTACTAAGATGAAGTATCCCGTTGTACTCCTTACAAAGTCATTTGCACTAACAATGGCGGCAATACCACTGTTGAGCTGCCCTCAATCACTGCAAGGGAAATTCCTTAATTGGAGCCTAGGTAAAACATCGTAACACAAGGTGTCATAAAGCCCACAAATACGCAGAGCAAAATGTATCATAATTGCTAACATTAGCCAGTGTAAGCTACTGGTCAGACTACATAAGGCTCTATCAGCAAAACTAAAAAGTTTCATTATGAATTCATTATTTAACTTTTCATTTGTAAAAGGAAAAATTATGTTACTTCTTCTCTCAAGTTAGTTGTCTCATTTTAAATAACTTGGCCATGAACGCAATCGTCTTAAATGACCACACACAGACGCACTGTGATAAAAGCATCAGTCCTTGGACATTTACTGATTCCATGTTCTTCAGGATTCATTTGTCTGATTGTCCGCTGTCCTTTCTGTTTCAACACCCTTTCAGATCTCATGCATTTTATTGTACAATGAAAGTCAACAGATTAATCACAATGAAAGGTGTTTAAGACAGCGATGACGTTAATATTTTAGATTGAGAATATGAAAGGAGTACTCACTCTTTGAATCTGGTTGCGGCAAAAGCATCAGACGAGAGACAGGGAAAGAGAGAGAAAGATTAGTGACTATTTGAAACATAAATCACACAGCACCTCTTCAGGTTTGCTTATTGTAATTTACAAGCAAGTTGGTCTTCATTATAGACATTTAGCAACAAAGACTACTGATCATTATGCTGATGATTACTACTCCTTTTCCTTTCTTCAAATCTCCTCTCCTCACTCTATTTGTCTCAGGATCAGTAGCTCTCTCCAAAATGCAGTGATCCAGTTTAAATGTGTGTGTGTGTGTGTGTGTGTGTGTGTGTGTGTGTGTGTGTGTGTGTGTGTGTGCTTGTTTATGTGTGTTTAGGAGACGGATGAAATTAATAGCCTTTCACGGTGGTTAGCTAAACAAACTATTAGAATTGGCACTGTGGGACAGGCTGCCATGCTGAATCATCTAGGGAAGTGACTGGCCCAGGTGATAAAATGATAAATAGCACAAAAGGACGTCCTGTGGGAGAGCCTGCCAGCTTTGTCTATTTTTCTGACTGTCTGCATTTTCTTAAAAGAAATTCATACATTTTCTTAATGGCTTGTTTTGTTGCTTTGCTAGCATTTTCCTTTTTCAAGACAAATCCTACTTTTTCAGACATATTTTGAGGACCTAAACCTACATATTAAAATTGAGTAGCACCAAATTGGTGTTGAAGTAGATGGATTCACTTCAAGTGCAATTACATTAGTGGCTGGAATGCCAAACCTAGAAATCACGCCAAAAATGTATTGCTGGGCTGTTATATCCAATATGACCAATAGCTGCCTATGGGGTTTCTGCAGTGATACACCAACTTGTGCATTGATGGGCGGCTGAGATTTTCCGTTATTCTGTCTCTCAGTAGTTTCCATCCTCCCTGCTCTGTCAGTGGCAGTAAGCTGCAAACCCAGTTGTTCCTACTGAGGACATAAATCTTTAAACATTAGTCAAAAAATGCTTAGTTTTCTTGAAACTTTATTTTTGGGAAAGGTTACTCAAACAGAGCCCATTTGTTGGGCACTATTTTCAACTGCGGATCACTGCACATCACTTAAAACATACTACAGTGCCCATTTTCAGGAACATGCGACCCAGTGCAAAAGTGTGGCTACATTACGTGTTTTTAATAGTTTTTTGAACAACACTGGAAGTCTACAGTACAGAGGAGTAAGCTAACAGGCTTTGGCTACACAGGCAATTATTGTTAAGTATTGTTGCACTGTTGGTTTTGGTCTCTTTATGGGATTTGTTGATAGAAAGAAAGTATGGACTATCGCCAGCCTAATCCTTTAAACACCATCAGTCTAAATTGTCCCTGATTAAAGAGCCATTTTTATTCCACATTTGCACATAAATTCACACTTACTGTCTGTAGGTGATAATGACGATTAGTATGGCGGGGACACAGCAGATAATGATGATAACTGCCAGAGCCAACAGTGCCCCCTCTGTGTAGCCTACAGTCTGCACTGCTTTCTTTACGCTGGTAACGACTTCAGGGGTTCGGATCTCCAGAATCCGTCCACCAGGAGGGAGGAAGGGCTGGAACTCTTTATTTATGTCCAAGAGTTTACCATCAAGGAACCTAGTGAGGAGAGACCCAATGATGTAACTGAGACCATGTAAATTTGCAATTAGGCACTAGACATTAACCTCTATTACTCAGTGCAAGTGATGCCAGTGTTAATGCGTGGTGTTGAAGGCCAGAACTCTCTGCCAGCTAGATGTCAAACACTTATCCAGGCAGCGGAGTTTCATGCTAAAAATCACATAAACACACACCTACTCACTTGTTCTTGTTCTACTCTGTTCAGTAGTTTTTATGTGTGTGTTTGTATTTCCTGACTCCTTATCCTTAAAGTAGCTCCCAGTGAAAGAGAGGACTGGCGAAACTTTGCGTCTTGTTTGAATGAGCTGTCAGAAAGTACAAGATTGACTTCAACAAAATACCTGTAAACTTGTGTGACTGGCAGCACTCCAAAAAACTAACTGAGGCCAATTAATTTAGGAATTACTTAATTGCGATGTAATTTAAGTTAGATCCTGTCCCATTTATGATATAAAGCTATTGGAGAGCTGCCATTTTACTTTCATGGATTTGTTGGCAAAGTTCTTACTTGTAGAGTTCCTGTCTAGATACAGCTCTATTTGTCAGCGGGTCGATAGCATAAATCATCAGGTCCGACTTGGTGTAGTCTTCCTGCTCCATTCCATCGCCATGGCGATTGGGCCCGATGGTTTCCACGACAACCTTTGCACCTGGTATCTGTTCTTGGACATAGCGCTCCAAAATGCTGAGGAACACACAGATATACAAAAAAAGAAAAAAAAATTTAAAAAAGCCAGCAGACACACAAAACAGACACACTAAATCACACAACACACATTTTTTTCATCCCGTCAGCTAAGCAGGTTCATGCTGTGCAAAATTGATTTCTGTCCCCCTGGAAACACCTGCTCACAGCAGGAAGGGTCCCTCCAAGGTGTGTGTTTATATGTGTGTATAAAAGAGAAAGAACGTGAGTAAAGGAGAGAGTAAAGAAGGTAAGGGCTTTAAAACATCATTATCAAGCTATGTGTTAGAGGCAAAAGAAGCAACCTGAGCTGTGGTACAGTGTTTGTCTGTTGCTGCACATGGCAGAAATATCATATCATATATAATGAATAATGCAGTTTGTGTTTAGTATTAACATCTTTCCTTTCTTCAAATGAATAAATATATATTTGGCGGACTGTGGGAGGGAGATATTATTACTTTCAAGCCAATTCTCAAACAAGCTGAGCTCCATTGGAGCAAAGTCAGAGTATCTCACATTCCAGCTGTCATTGTGGTGTTGATAAGGTCATGTTTTCAGGGCTCGAGCCCCAAATGTTTTGAACTTAGCAAGGAATATTTTTTATTAGTTTGTGTTGGCTTCAAGGGACAGAAGGTGGGGGAGGATTAGAAAGGAGCTATCTGGTGGCATAGGTAACAGTAACAGGTACAATTTAAAAAAAAATCAACATTGTGGAAATATATCCTAAAAAACATTCAAGGCTGTTCATATTCACATACAAGGATCTGGGCTAGCCTCTGAATGTCTTAGTACTCCTACACCACTGACAAACAAAGAAAAAAACATCATCAAAACATAATGAACTACGGGTTTCTTTATCACATTAACAGGGACATTGCTTCCTCTGTATCTGTGGTCTAGCTGTGGTGGTCTGATGCCTGTCCCTGTTACAGTCCCAGTGTGGGTTCTAGCTCAACAAAGCACTTTGAGCTTCACTCTTACTAGGACACTTCATTATGATAAAAATGCGATTTTTATACACAAGACTGTTTGTGCTCTTTATCAAGTCTTGTTGATTTCCCCATGGTAGCAATTACAGCTTCAGTCCTTGAAGACGTACCAAAGCTAAATCAAATGTAGAGAAACCTTGTATGACTGCAGAAGCTAAAATGGCATCAAATCAAGGTTAAAACTTAATTGCATTACTGTATGACTGTTGATTAAACTTTTAACATAATACACCCACTCTAATAGAAACATGGGACTTTAATGAACTGTTAATGACAATGTATGTATGGATAGCAAGTTGTGTTCTTCACCTATATCACTCCGCTGTTCTATGAAATTACATATTCCGGTGTATTATAATATAAAAATAGTGTGTTTCCAAGATGAGAGGACAACTGTTTAGAGTCTAACTGTAAATTTCTAGGGTCATTGGTTCAACAAACAGGCTGTCCATCAACAGCTATTTGCAATGTTGATGGTATGTGTTGAACCAAATCTGCCTGCGCTCTAGTCAAGAGCATCAGTATAAGAAATGTTGACTCATACGTACTTGTGTAGGGTACACATAGTACAACCAGCTTAATGCTATAGGTGATTTATTAATACATTATATTAAAAAAAGTGGAAGAACGTGGAAATGTGGGAGCATGTACGTTACCTGAGCAGCTTGTCTTTGTTTTTCTCCACATAAGTTGGGGGGACATTTGATACGACCACCTGCATGTCCAGCTGGTTCACAACTGACACCTACACGGCAAAAGATGCAAATAAAACTGGTTTCTACATTTAAATTGGGCAGAAAACAGCATGCTCAGCTGTGAATAATTTCAGTAAACTATATCAGATGGCACCTTGATCACTGCAAAAAGCTTGCATTGGGAAAGATAACATTTCCAATCCAACTACTATGCTTCAAGCTAGTGACACTTTGTATTGGTTCTCACATTTTTATCTCCTTCAAGGACATTCTGAGAGCCACATAAATCCCATTGTTTCAATCATGCCATTCAGTTTGTTTTAAGGAAAATGTAGAATATAAGATGAAATACAGGAAATGATTATAAACCTGTCACCAATGTCAAAAATGTAAATATACACACCACTATCTCCGCCTTGCTGCTGTGTCCTTGACCATAGTTGTCTGTGGCAACCACCTCAAACTTAAAATATGACCTCCTCATGTTGCGGTACATGATTGCCGTCTTCACCACGCCGCTGTACGGTTCGATGACGAAGCCATCTTTGCTATCTTTAGTATCTTTACCAGCAGGAGGGGGAATGATCAGCCGGTACATCATAGAGCTGTAGTTACCAGTGTCTTTGTCCAGGGCCTGTAAAATGAGGAAAATAAGACTACAATTATAATCAAATGTCATAATCATCATCCATGCAAACAACACTTTGATCAAGTCACTGTTGCCATTATTGTTATAATCAGTTCTTTGATCTGTGATGATTACCATCATGACAGCCCTCCACCTCCTCATTTCATTCCAGGTATTTGAGCAGCTGATCAATACACAGCGCTGCAATATATTGATCAAGGGATATATTTTCTCGTGAGGGAAACCTGCTTCAGTACTTGTACTGTTTGATGTAGTACTCTGAATCAGCAGTAGGGGGTAAAGTGGTGCTTTGACCTGTGTGCGTGTATATTCATCTGTTCTGTCAGTCTGGCTAACTATCAAGTCTCTCACTCGTTCACACATACATGCATACCCCACGTTCACATCCAGACACACACTCAGACAGACATTGATTTATTGCCGGGTCTTTAAGAGCAGTGCTGAGAGTATAGACTATAGATTCAGCTCTGAGACACACACCACATCAAAAGGTAACAATATAATAGACAGGGAATAAAGAAATGGGAGCATACATATAGAAAGATGAGGAGAGGGAAGAAAATTTGTACAGATCTATTTTTTTGTGTTCTTACTTGCAGAGGTAAGTTAGGATAACTTAGCAATGCATTAATACTGCTAATATCAACCAATGGTCCACTTACATACCTATTCAAAGCAGGTTTCCAGCATTTAATGTGTTCATACTGGAAAAGGGGCAAAATACTTAGTGAGCAAAATTCTGTTTGGTGGTGAAACAGCTCAAGTGAACACACTTTCCTATATTCAGGTGATTACACACTAATGAAAACATAGTTATGAATATTATATTCAACTTCTGCCAATAGAACCTCCTAAGTGTTACACAGACCTTTAACTGGCACCCCTCTAATTGTCATTATAAAGTCGCAGTTTGAGTGCACACATTGCCTCATTTCCTGTAAATATAAACATTAAAGTATGTTTATTAATTGTATACTAACTCTAAAAACAGCATAATATAAAGATAGGTGTATATATTGTATACAATTAGTATGAAACTTGAAAATAGCTTTTTACTTCTTCACAATCCCCTTTATGTGTCTTTTAAATGACAGTTGGAAGTGGACAGCGAAAATTAAAAGCCCTTTGGCGTCACTTTAATAGCACAAAACAAAATGTCCTCCAAAAAACAAATACACTGACGTAGCACTTTAACAATGTTAGCAAGTGCTGTAAACATTTCAGTGCTTTTAAAGCCCTTCCCATCCAGTACTTTGCCCTTTATGACAGGAAATCAACAATGTGGAGGCTAGAATAAAAACAACCACTCTGAGCCCCCTGCACACCTGAGGCTCATTCAAAAGCATTTTTAAAGGATGACTGATTCACTTGGTGAGTCAGGCCAAGTTCAGACCAGCGACAACATTGTGTGAAAAAAAATCCAGCCCCTTCATTAACGACTGCACTGTGAGGTTGCGCTGGCAAAAATATGGAAAGGACAACATCATCTGGCAAGGCATTGTGTTTACCAATCGAATACATGCTAGCCAACATTTCAAATTAGATTTTTTTTTGTAACATGATTGACGTAGTTCAGCTGTTTACCTTCGGATTGTGATGATGGATAATAAAATATTTGTTGCTGTGGTAATTTTCCATAGTTTCATGACCCTTTTTACTTCTGAGTGATGTTTTGTCAAGTCTTGTACTCTTCCTTCTTGATCTTCCCACATTAACGTAGGGCTATTTTTGGTATAAAAACCCACTGAAAGGGAGGGCTGGAAATATTAATTAAAAGGGAGAAGAACAAGCCGGAGTAAGATAGAAGAGTAAATTCAACACCTCTGCACTTGCATCGGTTGTGGTGGGGAACGTGACAGAGAAGTCTTGGGAAGTGTGACTCAAATGGAATTAGAAGAAAAAAAAGAATCTTTGCAGGTAATGAGTAGGTTTGCTAATGTGAGACTCATCTGCAATCTAATCAATATCTGTGTTCTGGCAACCCTCTGAGGGACAAGAAGACAGAACTCCTGCACGTGCACTTGAACACGTACACTCTGAAGGCATGACAGCCCTGCATGAGCCTATACACACACACACACACACACACACACACACACACACACACACAAACATGCAGCTTGCTACACACACGAAACTCATTAAGACAACGTGCGTGCTTCAGACAGATGTGATGGAATTAGTTATACTTGAGTGAAACCACTAAGATTGAAAATGCACAACTTTCTCTCCATCTTTTGTCTCGCTCACACTTTCATCTGGTAGTTCGTAAATGTGCCGCCAGCATCCCTGTCCATCTCTCTAGTCCCACATCCCCCGTCCGACTCTAACTATTCATCCTCCCATGAATCCTGTATGTCTTCCCTGTCTTCTTCTGTCCAGTCAGTTTGTCTCTAAGCAGGATGCCAGTTATCTTTATCTAACCATCAATCCTCTCTCTTCCTTCCAACCTTCAGATCTACTGTCTCCCTGAGGTGATTGAGCCTACTAGCAGGCTATTAGTTCTTTCTGTAAGTCTGCTCATGTATTCGCAGAGGTCAGGTGACTGTAAACCAGCTCCAGCCAAATGTAGTATTAACACTGAAAATCCATATACAAAACCACCACCTCAGGTGTTTGCAGCAGAAGAATAATAATTTGAAACTCAAGGTTTACCAGTAAGAAAAGCTAATTTTCTACACTTGTGAAACTGTGATTTCGACTTTGTTGCCTGCTCTCCCTTAATATCTCATCTTCCCTGTCACTCTCACTCTAAATTATCTAATGAAGCAGGAATATCTAAGAATGATCTTAAAAAACGTAAAAAAAAACCCGTAATAAAATATTAAAGAACATACTTTTCTGCTAGAGACCCTGCCCGAGTCTCTTGTGGCATTCAGGCTCATTAAAACATATTGCTACTTCTCAGATAGAGGCTGAAAAAGATAGACTCTGTGACCCATTTTGGGTCCTGAAAGGCATTTTAATAATAGGAGAGTCGCTCGGGTTGTTTACAGTGATATGGAATTCTCCTGAGTTAGGTAAAAAGAAACGGAACAAAGAGATGTATCAATTAAGAGAGAGACAGAGGTAGATGTCAAGGGAAATGCAGAGACAGGAAATAATCTTACCAGTTAATCTTGTTACTTACTGGACTGATTATTGCCTTCATTTAAAATAAACAACACAAATACGAGCACGCAAATCCACAAAGGCACCGTAGCTGAACTGTAATTTTCAGTGTCTCACATTAAACTCAGGGATATTCTTTTAACCAAGAGCTGGTAACAAAATAGGGGACATGTTAAAGCAACACTATCACAGACTGAAGCCTAAAAAGTTGTAAAAGAGTTGAATTCACTCATCTATGACACAGTCAGAGGTAAAACTGAACATTATAACCTTTACAAAGACTTTATTATTGATTGCAAGGCAATAAATTCAGTCAACCAATTCACACGGATTATTGTATAAATGTGGAATATGAATCATTGAGCTCAGCACAGCAGTGAGTGAGGTTTAACAATGAAAACTTCCCCCTCTAAAGTAAGGTGGACTCAGAGCCTACAGGTGGATTCCACTGGGCTTTTGAAATGTTATATGAACAACAGTAGCAACAGCCATAGCAGCAAGCAGCGTCATAGCTTTCAGGTGAGTGGCGTGGCATCAGGCATGCAGCCAAAGAGTGAGCAGGGCACTGACGGCTTAAGTACTCCGCCATGATTAAAAGAATTTGTTGGATATATGTTGCAGTGATAGGACTGTGCCCTGCTGTGGGTGTAGAGGTGACTCGAGTTGGATTGCCTGAATTGGCACATAGGCTTCGCTTTATTAATTACATTATATTGTCACGTGTTCCCATATTTTTTATCAACCCCCCAAAGTTTGGCTGTATATGTATGTGTGTGAATGTCTGTACCTGTACTTGCAAGACGGAGGTGAAAGTTTTTGCATCTTCTGCAACCCCTCCGATGTAAAGAGATCTGCTGAAAACTGGCGGGTGGTCGTTCTCATCCAGGATGTCAATTATCACCTTAGCTGTGTTAGCTAGAGGACACACACACACACACACACACACACACACACACACACACACACACACACACACACACACACACACACACACAATTTACACGTTATGTTACACCTTTGCATTTGGCATAACAAAAAGCAGAAAAAGGGAACTTATGTGAAGCACATTCTGTATTTGTTGTTGTCTCAAGAGACACACAAAGCATTTTTTATACTAAAGGAACAAGCTGCGGAGTGAAAAAGCAAACAATACAGTTCAAGAAATAAATTAAAAAGGTCTAACACAGTCAACTATGTAGATCACCCCCAACCTAGACCAGCCAGTATCATCCTGCAATTGCAGGCCAACAGTTGTGAACTTGCAGTCCAACAATGTGCCACATATCAGCCACATACCATTTAGACCTGCAGATGTAGACATCTACAAACAGGGAAAGTCATAGCTTTTGCACGCAATGTCACAAGCATACAATTGCAGCAGCTATTACTACCTTGCTTGTAGATGATAATATTCACATGTATACACTACAGGTCTAAATTGGTTCTGCTTTTGCATTCCTTTTCTATCTTCTTGTGCAGGCTAGCAAGAGTAAAACTCGTCTGACAATGATTGAACAACCTCTCCTGGTGGGAATGTTTTGTTTAGCCAAAGTTTCAGCCCATTCCCATGAGGTGATCTGCGGCATTTAGAGAAAACAAAGATGAGACAGCAGAGACAAGGAGAGTTTAAAAAAGGTTTCAAATCTCTGAAACATTAAATTGTCATGAATAAATAAGCAGCAGTCAAGCTCAAATTTAGGGGGGGAAATATTATAAATAATGTATTATTTATTTAAAAAAGGTCAGCTTATCTGCTTCATCAGGACTGTGTGGTTTGATTAGATTTGATATTAGTGGTAACACATGTTAACAGCTCCACAGCTGTCATCACATTTTGGTTTAAATATTCCTAAACTGTGATTGGTGGAAGTATATGACATCACTTATTACCAGCTGAACTCTGGCCACTTCAAACCAGTGAGATGAGCACAAAGAAAACACAAATACAGAAACCTCTCATGTGAAATAACCAAAACTGTTCTGACTTAAAGACTAAAAAGTGACCCCATTAATCATAGTGATAAGCTGATAAAACTGCTCTTCAGGAAATGTTTCCATAGTGATCAAAAGTTGGGACAGTAGAGTGAGTAACGACTAAAGGATTGTTAGCTTCACTTCCAGAGCTGACAGAAGACATTTACAGATTCTGAAAATGTGCTGTGAGAAATATAAAAAACAGCTAAATGTCTAGGGATGCGGCAGTAGAGGTGACCTTGCTCTGATCCGTCTGATAACATTTTTGAGATATACTATGCATCAAGGAACTTCACAGGTCATGACTACTGAGAATGTTGCAGTCGACATCATGACCTTTCCGAGTCAAAAACCTTCCAAAATAATGTCTGTGCCAAGGTTCAAAATCAAGTTTTGCATTTGCAAACTGCATTGGAAAATCTTAATCTTAAATGAGCAAGAAGAGATTAAACATCACAGTAATTCAACCAAGCTACACATTCAGTATAAACAAAACACCGTGCCAATGAACCTCTGTCATTCACATTCAGTGATTGCAACTTGGAATGAGTCACATTCAGCCTTATCCAGACAACAACTGGGAGATGTGAATCACACCCACATGAAACTGCAACACAATGACATCAAGCAACTCTGTGAAAGGGTGAATCATGTGTCAGAAAGAAAGAAGAAATCCCAGTAATGTAAAGTGAAGTGAAGTCTTACTTAAGAAAGGCAAAAAAAAAACACATTAAAAATTTGGGCACATAAAAAGAAAAGCGTAAAACAAACAAGCAGATGCAAACATTAATCTGCTTATCTACAACAGCCAATGAGAGACCATACCAAAATGTCTATTTACGATTCCAACCTTCACTTGAGTTAGAAAACCGGATTAACACATTGTTAGAATCCTATTGATTTGTTGCCTGATTAAAATGCGTACCAAAAAGCATTCAAGGAGATTTGCTAATGACTACAATGATTTGTAGTTTTAATCTTCAAAGAATGCTTGAATTCAAATAGTTGGATGAAATGAGAACAGCATGTGGTAAATGCTATAATTAAAAAAGAAAGAGAAACCCGGGGAGCTGAGCATCAATTAAGAAGAATGCACATACATGTTTTCAAACTAAAAAGGAGAAAAGAGACCAGCAGAAAGAGACAGAAATAAAAAAAGGAAGAGAGAAGAGGCAGGAAGAAAAAAGGATAGAGGGGGAAGAGATAGAGACTAATTAGAGTCATTTTCACTTTAGCTATAATTTCAATTAAAACCTTAAAAAAATGTTGTGGTCGGTCTTTCCCAACACATGCACCTGAAGGAAAATTCATTTTTGGATGGATTGAAACGAAGAGAGAAATTAGACAAAATTAAGACAGAATGAAGGAAGAGAAAAGTACAAAAAGAAATACAATAAAAGAGGCTTACACAGACTGACAGATAATAACAGGTTCAGTGCAATTTAACACTAACTTGACCTGTAGTGTTTGGGGAAAAAAAGCTACAGCCTTACAGATAAAATCTTCAATCTTCCAAACTGCACACCAGCTATATTTGGCCACTTTCATCATTGCAAACATGTTTTCATATTTGAGAGTTAAATTCCAGAGAGCTGCATAACTGCATTTCAGCAAAGACTTGGGACAGCCAATGAGACCCATATCTAGCAGGAGGAGGAAAGGCCAGCATTTTAAAACAGCAACATCGAAGACAACAAACTGGTGGAAGCGTACAGATTTGATAGACAGCTGAGAGAGAGGAAAAAGCTACGTGACGGGTAACAACAACAGCCAAGGCCCAATAGAACATGTCTTCCAAGACATAACTGTATGGATCAGGAGAGGAGTTGGAAAAAACAAGGTAAAAGTAGACAGCTCCAGAGAGTATGACACACAGAGAGATAAGTGTATGTGCAAGAGAGAAAGCTACAGCCTGGGGCGATTATTATCAAGTAGTGGCTGTTATTTTCTAATCCTTAAGTGTGTGTGTGTGTACGTGTGTGTGTGTGTGTGTGTAATTAGAGAGAAGAGAATCTGCGATGATGCAATCCGATGTCAAAAGTAAGTTGTGTAATCTTAGAGGCGGAGAGTTCAATAAATAAACCACACACTTACTCTTAGAGGGAGCTCGGAAGTTTGAGGACCCCACTCTCATGGAGTCCGCTTCTACCTTCAGAACGTAGCTGGAATTGGCCTCATAGTCCAGGGGCTTGGCTGTCGAAATCACTCCTGTCGTTACGTTTAATGCAAACGTACCTGGAGAGAGAACGAGAAATGGAGATAAAGAAAAGAGAAAAGTGAGAGTGGGGAAGGTTGGATCAAAGACACAGAGAGCAAACTACAGGAGAGAAAGGTCAAAAAGAGACACAGTGGGATAGAAATTTCTTGTATAAATCAGTGAGATAGTGAGTGGAAAGAAGGTAGGCTAGTGTGTCCTGAGCTGCTGACAGAGAGAGTTTAAACATTGTTTAAATAAGATCCAATGTAATTAAAATTTCAATTTCAAGTGTTTAATAACCAGATGAAATGGAGGACAAGGACCCCCCTCAAATTACCTATGGTCTTAATATAGGCTACAGTATAATGATAAGCTATAAGATAATAATAATAACAAATATGGTATTAATCAGTTGGATAAACAAAAGTTGGTCCTATAATCACTAAGTTGACTAAACACGCCACAATCTGTGTGTGCACAATATTAGCTGTAGCTGCTAAAATAAACGACATGAGGTATTCAATCACGAGGCAAATACAGAAATTGAGACTTGTTATGGCAGTTGGGGCCTGAAAGGAAGGAAGTGACAGCAAGGTGTCAAATGTCATTGGTGAGATGTAGAGCACATGCTGTAAATAACCCAATTTGTGGTTTATACCTAGAGAACAGATATCCTATTGAAAATATTTTTAGTTAACTGCATTACATGTTTTAACTGTCTTTAAGCATAGTGTTTACTACTGTTTGGAATAGACAGACTTCTATTTTGAAGGCGACTCTCTTTGGCACACAGTTGCTAGGTGCGTAGCACTAAATAGGAAAGGAGTAAATATGAAAACATACAGAAGGAGACGCTCAATGTATTAGCAACCCCCAAAGAGGTACATGGTTAGTATCTGGTATGTTGTAATGCTCTGGTGTTGGGGGGTGGTCCAGTATCTTGGTCTTGGATAATACTAATTTTGCTACCGCCAATACATTCTCAGCCTTCTTCAGATGACGCTGATGCTCCAGCAGCTTTATCATTGAGGGCTTCCTCTAGCTGTTGCTGAGCCTCCTTAACCTGAGACTCAAGCCTTTAGCTTTTAATGTCAAAATCCAGATGCAATTTAATTCTCTTTTGTTTACTTTTATGCCATATCTCATATGAATCGGATATCTGGTCTTGTTTTCTCCAGGTAAATGCCAGTCAAGGTATACAGTTTTTATGGTGGTGGTAATGCACCTAAAGTTGTTTGGTTATGGCTACAAAACACCAGAATAATAATAAGTACAGTACAGAGTGTACAATAGCAGCATTATGCCTTTTCTATGACAGTATGTATTGAAAACACTGGAGATGCTTTCTTCCTGTCGTGTTAATGATGATGATGAGAATGTTGGTGAATTCTAGTGTGACTTCAACTGCCAGTATCAAAGAGTATAGACCCTGTTCAGAGTAAACCAAGAGTTTGTAACGTTTACATGTGCGTCTTGGAGAGATGGATCCAATTACACCTTTTCTGTATCTGGCTAGGATGTGTCTCAAACCACTTCCTGAGTCAACTTGCCTTAGATGCCCAAGATGCATTAAGTGTAAATGGGTTAACTAGTGAGTCATAACTCTTAAATTTAATATGTATTTTTTGCAATTAGGGAAACATTTTCAAAAAAATTGTTATGGTTGCAACATGTATACTCTGTCTCCACACAATTGGTGGCCTTGCTACAGAAATGCTCTATGAGATAATAACTGCTAATAACCCTGTATATAATTTAATGGTATAAATTAACTTCAGCGGTCAGCAAACCCCCACAACTGAAACCCACAAAAGGCACCACTCTGCCTATAAAAAGCTCAGAGTATACTCACCTCCCTCGTTGCCTTCAGTGATAGAGTAGATGATAGTTTGATTGACAGCAGCTGCCATGATGACTCCCACTTGGGTTCCAACAGCAGCCTCCTCGCTCACTGGTGGAAACCTGGGAATGGATCAGTCAAGACATATTAACTGATAAGAAAAATAAATATGTATACGTAGACTGGGCCCACTCGCTCTCAAGGGTCGACTGCAATTTGGCAAGTTAAATACAACCGAGAGTTGTATCTGTCAAATGTGTCCAATATTTACCCCTAATGTAACGTATATGTAAGCAGTGTTCACACGTACTGAGCTACTATGAGGGTATAGCAAACAGGTAGGAAACTGTCCTAGAAAACTATGTGCTGTTAATTGTAGGATCCTGAATGTCAGCCTGACATTAAAACGGTGAAAATTGTCAAAGCAATTCGAATCAGTCTCACAACTACCACACACTGATAATGTAAAAGTTGGAATAAAAAATAAAGGCAGCTTCACTCAAGTTTCTGCAGGTTGATTCTCAGAACACAGCAACCCTGGACACTGAGTCCAGTGACTGGCTGAAAGGTACAGAATAATTTCTTAACTATAGAGTATGCTTTGGATAAAGGCCATTCCAATTTCCCTGAGCCCAGGGTGACATCGTCAAATAGCATTCGAAGAAAGATATTCAGTTTTGGTTTGAAACATGGTTACATTTGAAAAGCTAGAGCCAGAGAATTTGTGCTTGATAAAATAATGTAAATAGTAATTTGTTATAAAAAATAAAAATGTTCTGTTCCTCAATTAATGGAGTAATCAACTAATTGTTTTAAGTCTTTAGAATTACAAAGCCTCCTATATGGTGCTTTAGGATGGTGTACAGTGTTTGGATAAAACTTACATTTGGAACATGTGTGACAGGCACTATTAGTGGCCTGAGCCAGGTGGTGAAATTAAACCATCAACAGCTTTGAAAGAGAACCCAGGCATGGTCTTGTTTTTGTCCACCTGCCTCTCATTGCATGTGGTGGGCAGTTTTCCCTGCTTACAAGCCTGACAGATTTTCTTAGAATCTGGCAACTCTCAAAATTTCCAGCAGATTTCGCTCCATTAAATAAACCCAGTCCAGTCATTAGGCCAAACGTCACAGCTGGCTACACATTATAACATGGGCTACCAAATGGGTAAGCTATCAAGTAATCACAACGTGATAAATGGGACTGTTGTGGGACTGGAGTGAGAGAGAGACAGACAGAGAAAGAGAGAGTGAGAGAGAGTGTGTGTGTGTTTGTGGGTGAGTGTGTTTGTGTAGACATTAACTTCCAGCCCAGTCAATTGCTTCTCTAACCACCTGCTCTACCCAAAGACTCCTCCAAGCAAATATATAATACACCTGAAGTTTATCAAATGAATATAAATTTAAATGGAAAACAAATTTATTTGTTATGCAACTTCAGAAAGTTTTAATTGCAGTAGCTGTGGTAAAAACAAGAATATAGGTCCTTTTTTGCAGTAGATTTTGTCATAGCAGGAAAAGCACAGGTGTTACTGACATAAACGATAGCTCTGTTCTCAGTGTCCCAGTCAGCCACAGTGTGTGACACCGAGCCAGCATGCACAATACCCAGACTCTGAAACAGCTAAATAGCCATCATTAATTTCATTGTTTACACCTACGCTTTCCCTGCTGTGACATGTGAAAAAGTCTCCTGTGAAAAAGACCTGTTTTGTCTCCTGTACAGTCCCATTCTGTCCAGACTCCTGTTCATTTAGTAGAAATTTAGTTTTCTTCTTTGTGCATACATCTTTGGCTCATTTTCTGCCTTTATTAGATGGTATACATATATATGGCTCCTCTTTAAGGGACCCCTCTTTTATCATTAATAAAGCTGATGACCACTGACTAAGTGACATGTTTTATGGATATTTCATTTTATATTCAATTCACACCTGTAACAGTACAAAATAACTGATGCATTGACCAAATAGTGAATGCAATAACTGCAGGAACTAATCATTTTCTAGATATTTTTTTAGAAACCTTTTACACAATTATCTATAATATACATTCCATTAATTTTTAAAGGCCTTCATACTTAAAAGGGTTCCTTTTTTTATTCTCCCTGACGCTTGGCCCTTATTCTATAAGCTCTTTGGTTGTTTTAACTGGGTACTTCTCTAATGCAGGATGAGGCTGTTTAGCAGAGAGTGAAGGCTGTCTGAATTGGCTTTTATTTAGGTCTTCACTGTGTCCTTATCCTGTGAGTTTTGTTTTGTTTTTTAAGGTCATATTTCAAATAATAATAATCTAGACTTAAAAATATTTATATTTTATATTTATACTGAGATATAGCGCTACTGTATATCTTTCTTAACCCCCTAGTGGGGAGCCAGTGGTTAACAGTAAAGAGATGACAGGAGATATAAGGGAAGAGAGAAAGAGTTAATAGGACCTCAAATCTGGGTTCTTGCTTTTTTGTGGCCAGTGTCCTAAAACTCTAGGACATCAGGACATTCCTGAAATGTATTTTCTTTTGTAATCAGCAAAGAGCCAAACCTCTAGCACACAAAGAATACTCTTGCTATTGTATTAACAAAAAGCCAGAAAGAAAGAAAATGTTCTCATTCAAATCAATGTGCTTTTCAAATTAGAAAGAATGGGACTGTAGTATGATTCAAGAGGAGAAGCTTTATGTGCATTGTGCAGTTGGAACAGAAAATCAGAAACACAAAGTTTGATGTTATGTTGTTTAGCTGCAGCAGCACAAATCTAGTCCATCAATAAAGGTGGGCTTGTTTTGTAGTGGCGCAATAACTTACAAACATGAAATTATTTTATTCCTCTCCTCTCGCTGAAGTATTTCGCTCCTCCAACCTCTCTTACGTCTCATTTGCCTCTCTCTCTGCAATCCTCCTACTTCTTCTCCAAGAAAATTTCAATTTCCCACTTACACACACTCCATTCACGCCCCTCTATATTTCTCCTTTTACATCCATATCTCCTCCTCTCTCCATCTTTACCTTCACACCCTCCCTCCCCCTCTTTCCCTCAGGCTGCTGCTTCCAGCCAACATCCCAGCAGACCTCAGCTACAATTGTTATCCATTCCTCCCACTCCACAATGGCTATTTGACAGGGGCGAAGGAGCACACTGAAGAGGATGCCCACACACATGCACCAGTGAGCTGATATACAGGACCATGTGCACACATACAGGACTGTAACGCACACAGCTTCTTGTGGATGTGTCAGAATGTATTTACAGGCATAAAGATGAGATGCACACATGACTGCACGCATATGTATAATACATGACATAGCACAGATAAACACACTCACCTGCCTTTGCGCGCACACACAGTTCATTATCAAGCTTCTGCCCCCCCCTGCGCTCTCTAATCATTGCTGTCCTAACTACAGCAAGCTGGGCTGATACTGATAACAAGAGAAACACACACACACACACTCACACACACACAAACTTGTACCACTATACTTGTGAGGACATTGCATTGACTTCTAATTCCCCGGAGCTCACTTTAGCTGAATTGTCCTCATAAATCTAACAATAACCCTAAAACGGACTTTGTTGTCTTTACTTTTAAATGATAGATTTACCTCGTAATTATAGAATTTTTGAGTGTGAACAAGGACTCACACACACACACACACGCAGGCACACACCAGAAGCACATATTCAGCCTGAATGTAGGCTATAGGACATAAACCTTAAGAGCTGTGTGAGAGAGTGTTCAGTGTTTCAGTGGTGTGAGGGGATAGACAGAATTATGACTATAGTGACAGATGTTGGCAATGATACCCTCCTCTCTGTGGATCTTTTGCTTATAGCCACTGTCATTCATTTGTCTCACTCAGTTTTTTTTTTTTTTTTTTTTTTAGCCCTTCTCTTTTAAATATGTATGATTCATCATCTTCCCCTCCTGTCATTATTCTTTCTGTTCTTCCTCACACGGCTCCTTTTCATTTCTCTCTTTCTCTTCTGCAGTTCTTGTTCTGTCACTTCTTTTAATCTCCTTCTCTGCGTCTCTTTGTCCACACCAAACTACAATATCCTCTGTGCCGAGCGGTGATTTGGTTCTGTTGGGCACTGACAATGCCTCCTCACAGAGGCTTTTTTTTTTTCACATGACAGTCATCTACTGTATGACATACTGTACTCAGCGTGGGAGGCCATTCCTGAAAAACAACAGGCAGGGCTTAAAGCAAGGAACATCTCTGTGCCTGAAATGTGTTCAAGTTAGGGGTAGGGATACACTTATTGAGTAAGAATTTTTAACGTTTTGGATATTTCATTTTCTATTAGATTTATAATAATTAAAACTATAATTTGGGTGTTCAAGTGTATGAATTTCAAAGATGGACACAGGTAGGCCTATTGATGAAATATTTGCTTTATTGTATGTAACACTGTCTGTGAACATCCAGTCCCTGTTTGGTGAAACTGTGATCAATATTTCCAAGATATGTGTGACAAGGCAGACAATGTCACTTTTGGAGAAGCCTTTTCCCAGTTTCTGGGAGGATCCAAACATCAATCAAACAAATATCTCAACTTTTAGGGGCTGATACAATCCCATACATAAATCTGTAAAAATATATTAACTACTAGTTTGTTTATCAATGTTTGTCTCACACATATATGCTTCCTTCTGATCTCTGTTGAGAGTTGCACATGCAGAGTACTGATCAGGCAGGACATACAGATCAGGTAGCGACCGTGGTATAAGATACTAAAAACATAGCCTAGCAAGCTGTAAGCTACAAGTCAGATGGAATCCAAATGGCTGTGATGCATATCGCGAGCTGTTTCTGAAAGACAAGAATACTTTAATGTTTGATCTACCTGTCATAATGTGACACACTGAATGTAAACATGGAATGCCTGATTTATTTTGTCCGTTGACAATCAACAGATTACTGCAAGAAGAAAAAAATAAGAATAAAGATCTAAGAGGTGGGAAAATGATATGTTACCTGTCTCTGCAGTCAACTATGACAATATTAAAACAAGCTCATTGCAGTATATAACTAATTTTGACAGCAGTCATATGGGGAAATCAGATTGCAGAACTGTTTAAGAAAAAAAACAAACAATTTGCTGTACAACCAGTAGTATAG